GATATTTGCCTGGCGCCCGCCCTCCTGGAGCACTTTCTTCCGTCTCCCACTTCTGAAAGAAAGAAAGGACTCAGAGCCAGAATCGGAGCCTCACTGGGAGCACACCACCTTGATCAACCTGGCTTATGGCACCCTCCACAGCCCGCTCTGTGTGGAGTCGAGTTGGCGGCGGACAGCGATGCAGAGTCTGAGGGAAGGGGGGCCAGGTAGCAACTTTGTTCTCTGCTTGTGGGCCTGAAAGAGAAGCTGCCTGTGAGGGAGCCCACGGAGCAAAATACCGTAAAGGCACTCTGGGGATCCTCCCCCCCCAAAAAAGAGCAAAGAGAGGGGCCTGGCATGCCCCTCTCCTCCCTTCAAAACTTTTAACCACCGCTTTGGTGGCTGTGGGTTGGTGGTGGTGTCATGTGACTGAGTGTGCGTGAGTGATGTCAAGTTGGCCATGCCCACTCAGTCACATGACACACCCCCATCTAGCCACACTCACTGAAACGGTAGTAAATTTTTTTGTATATATATGTATATCCATGTATGTATGTATCAGTGATTGCAGGTGGTACGCCCCGGTACGGGTGTACCGGAGCCTGCCCAGAGCATCAGGTACCGTTCTGGTACGGTGCTCCGGAGGGCCCAACTGCCCGCACAAACTCCTTACCTGTCTTTTAAGCCTTTGGTGCATGCAGTGCCTGCGTGATGCTCTGTTGAGCTGCTGGAGCGTTGCGGAGGGATTACAAGCAGGTACGAGCTGTACCAGTTGGAACGGGATCCAGAACCCACCACTGGTATGTATGTATGTATACATGATGGGGAAACATAGTGCTTCCCACATCTTTGTAGTCCTGGAGGCCTTCACCATATTCTTTTGTTTCTTTTACAAAAGTTAGCCAATTTGTTGTTGATTTTTTTGTTTCCCATTTTGTCTCCCATTTTTAGAATCAAGAGATGTGGTTTGTGAGCCAGTAGAAAAGTTATATTCTGATTTGCCTAATAATAACAGCAGTATTGGTAAGGATCAAATTTTATTTTTTTTAACATATAAAGTGTCCTCTGGTGAAACTGAAGTGCACGAACAGTGTGGAACGTATCACTGAACTTGGAGTGAGACTTAGCCTACGTTCAAGTGATGACATAGTCCCGCGATAGCAACTTGTGGCACACGAAGCCGTTTGTCAGGGTGTGCCCTGTCAGTTCCAGCATACATGCACGTACTGGTCAGCTAACTTCAGCTTTCATTTTCGGTTATTTTTCGCCCTCCGGAGGCTTCCCTCAGCCCATGCTGCTCCTACAGCAAACAGGGGAAACACCACTACCCCGCCTCCCTGATCTCTCTCTCTCTCACCACCACCACCACCCCAGGACCTGTTTCCCTACCACACACCCTTTCTGCATTGGTGGAAGGGGCTGGGCATCGGGGGCATCACACCCGCATCTGCCCGGTGCCACCAGGGATACCTCCAGCACTGGCAGGTGCCTCCCGGCACAGGTGAGCCATGCTTGGCTGGGGGGGTCACGAGGCTTCAGGCCAAGACCGCGCGAGAGCAGGGGTGTGTGGCACACCCACCCACGACCCCCCTGCTCTCCCCCCGCTTTTGGCACACAATGGCAAAAAGGTTAGCTGTCACTGACATAGTCTATTTAGACTAATTTATAATCAGAAAACAGTTGCAAAAAAAACATGAGATACATCTTTCTCTGGGAGTCTTTAGTGAGAATTTATCAGTGATAGTTTGATGTTACAGTTGCAGGTATTCTGCATAGGATAGGATTGTAAATTCAGCAAGAGATGCTCAAAAGGTATTGAATAGACTTCTTTTCTAATCCAACAATTTTGCTAGTCTCAGAAAAATCAAGCATTCCAGAAACCTCAATACATAACGCTTTGTGACATGTTATTTTCTGTAGTGCTACGTTGGCATAGTTTTTCTAGTAGGGAATGTCATTTTGTGTGTTACATACACAAAATATATTATGTTACACTTTTCAAAGAAATGAAGTACTTGCCGAAGTATACACATGCAAAATACACAATCATTTTTGTATGACAGAGATAATGGTTTATTAAGGAATTATTTCATAATAGTGGCCAAAAGAATTTATCCTTAGACGTACTGTTATTGGGGGGGGAGGGGGGATCCTTCTTAATTGGCAGAATCTTACAAACCTTTCCCAAATGGACTGAAAATTAGATTGATCTTTTATTCTCATGTTGACACATTTCTAGATTGGCTTCTGCAACCTCCATCCCAAAATTTATGAAGCAGAATTGTGATCCCTGAAATACTGTTCACTGTTAATCAAAATTATGACTCATTGAAGCAAGCTAGGACAAAATTATATATTTTTGAAGTACTTTATAAATGAACAATTGTGTAGATTTAATCAGAATGTTACATGTAATAACCCCAGAAAAAGACATGTTCTGATTCTGACCATGTCAAAGGAGGAAAGAGGAACCTAATAGCTTAAAGCTTTCTACCACTTACTGTAGGTTCATACTATTCAGTCAGAATCTAAATTTGAGCAAACATTAGCATATTATTTATGTTTGAGTAAGGATTTTAATACATTTTCACATTGCACTATATAACCATTTCCTGCACCATTTGTCTAGTTTCAATCAACAGGATAATGTTAAATACTGTATATCCTTTTTTCATTCAGAAATTTACAATGCTGATGGATCACGGTACATTGAAGGAAAGAAGGTCACAGAAAGGCCACGAGTAACTGAAGATGACAGCAGTGTGGGCAGTGGTTCTGCAATTGGCAGAGGAACTATAGATCCCAGTGACTTCCCACCAGGTATTTGCATTGATTAGCCTTCTACAGAATGACATTTAAATAGTACCTTGGAATTTGTGTAGACCTTCTCAACTTAGGTGGTCTCCAGATGAGTGGACTTCAGTTCTCTGAATTGCTCAGCAAGCACCAATATTTTTGAGGGTTCTGGGATCTGAAGTAGATTGGGGAAAATTCTGCATTAAAGATAGTCTTCAATTTACAGCAGTTCATTTAGTGACCATTCGAAGTTACAACAATACTGAAAAAAATGGCTTATGGCCATTTTTCACACTTATGACAGTTGCAATAGCAATAGCAATAGCAGCTAGACTTATATACCGCTTCATAGGGCTTTCAGCCCTCTCTAAGCGGTTTACAGAGTCAGCATATTGCCCCCA